TAGTATACACCCCTAATTAATTCTAAAAGCGTTTTTTGAAGCTTGACAAGAACTTCAGCACGAGCTTTGCCCAGTTCCTTCCTGCCCCTGACCGTGCAGAATGCAGCTCCTGGTTCAAGGAAGCTGGGGACCTTGCTACCCTTCCTCAATAAGTGCTCCCACCTGCACCAGCACCTCGTGCTTCTTGCTGCTGCACAAAAGATATGAATGACATTCGGAGCTGAGGCTCCCCATGAGGTCCTCCCCCATGAAGTGAGAAAGCCTGCAAGCTTTGCAGTTACCACCAGCCTGACCTTCCCAAAAGCCCGTTGCATTAGTAGCACCGTTATCCTCCTGCAGGAGCAGATAGAGGCTATTTGACACGTTAACAGCACTCTGCCTGCAAAAGCAAGCCCTAAATCTGTCCTCCAGCACCTGAAAAATACAGTAAGATGCATTCGCACAGATAGAAAGACTATTTTCTGCGGAACACCTTTTGCTAAAGCAAAATTTATTGATCCAATCTCGTAACCTTGGAGGCATCTGGAAAAAAAAATATTAACGTTCAGAAAAGGTAAAGCTAAGAGCTTTCTCCAGAGCAAGAAATGCTAAATCCAAGGGCACAGGGAAGGAGAAAGCCATGACAACAGTGAAATGAAATCTGGGATTATCAACCCCAGTGATAATTGTTTTTGTCTAAGTGTAAACAAGGCAGAAGATGAAAAGAGAGCTGGCATTTCAACCCGAGAGCAGCACAGCACCTGAGCGGCACAAACATCTCAGCTGAGAGCACTGAAGCACTCGGCGGCCCTAAGAGCAGCCCCAGCACTCTGGCTCACCCTCCCTCCATTTCTGATACTTTCATTGTGCTGGTGGTCTTCAAACACAAACAAAACCCAACAAAAACACAAAGGAGGAGAGAGGATGAGTGTCATCCTTTTAGCATCGTACACCACACCTCATCCCAGGCCAGCATTTGGCTTAAGCCAAGAGCAGATGTTTCCGCCAGCCTTCAGCTTCCCTGCATTGGCAGAAAGGTACATGCAGGCATTTGGGAGACCTTCTCACTTCACACCTTGTTTGGCAGCATCAAAAGAAACTGTTTGGCTTTATGGTACCAACTGGACCAATAAGACACAGTTATGGTACTCAGCTGCACAAAATAAGCTCCTCTCGTTTCCTGAGAAGCCAACCTTCAAAAAGCAGCATGCACACTGAACTTTTCTACTCACGGGAAAACTCATTTCATCTACACCAATACCAGGCACTATTCCTCTATTATTTCTATTGAGGATCAAAATGCCACTTCTCTCGTGGGACAGTCCCCCAAAACGTTCAGTGGCTGAACCACAAACAATTCAGAACTATGGAAGTTCTGGGGCTCCAGTAAGGGCAAACTGCATGTTGTTCATCAGCCCATTGCTGAGTTTGCAGGGCTGGGCCCCACACTGCTGCAGGAAACAAGCTTCTGTGGGTTCACATGAGATGCTTCAACACAGCATGCAGACGGTGTGAGTTCACCTCACCCAGCCGTGGAGGCAATGGGTACCTGCCTCAGCCGTTAGGCAGCACTTTCCATTCATAAAGAATCTCCAGCTGCACGTTAGGGGATTTCTTTGTTCACTGCTATAATACAAACACTTCTGGGATTGAAACACAGCACCGGTGACCTTAGCGAGCCAGGACCTGAACTTTGGTTCAACCCACATCTGCTAAACCAGACCTTCTTCAGCCCAGGCTGCCCTTCCTCAGGACCACCTCCGTGATGAACTGGAAAAGCCATCCCATGGGAGATGCTGTTCCCAGAGTCTGTGGATGCAGCATTCAAATGGATTAAATGAGCAGCACTCTGCTTGGGCTGGCTACACACAAAGCCTTGTGGGGCTTTGGCTTGGGCAGACATCCCCAAACTCAGCAGTAAGCTGTGCATGGAGCAGAAGTTACCTGCCAAGGCCGTCTTCCATGGGCAACCTCCCATGAAAGCTCACAGAGCATCCAAACAACCTGGATGAAGAGTAGAGCACCAAGAGAGGCCCATCACCCAGCACATCGCAGTGAGGCTCTGGAACAATCCCCTAGGTTTAGTGCTCAGCCTTTTGGGGACAAGGAAACCACTACAAATTTGCATTCTAATATATCTGAACTGCAAAAGAAACTGCTAATCCCCCTAACAACAAGACACATCCACGTGCCTTCTGACCTCCTCCCAGTGCTGCCATAGCCGCAGGAGCTCTGCTTGCTGCAGCCTGCGTGCCAAGAGTTTCTCCCATCCCATGGGCTATTTCTTTGCTCTCTCCCCCTGCAAAAGGCCTTTGCAATCTCACAACAGCAGTCTCTCACTCACAGCTTGATGCCAGCCGCCGCTGCCCAAGCCCTGTCCTGACATTTGTACACTTCTGTTGCAAACAACAGCTCGGCACAAAAACTTAACTTGTACAACCTAGGCTCTCAGCTTGGCCACTCTTCAAACCCACCCGGCGTTCCCACAGCCTCACAGAGACCCACTCAGCCTCCCAGCTAATTGAATTTTAATGAGAGGAAGCAGTTTTTTCCACCAGGAGAACGCTGCGCTACAGAAATGCTCTGAAGCCCCCCCCCCCCCCCCAATCCCTCCTGCCTGGCTGAGTTCTGCAGCAGAACACGAGCGAGGACATGGCCATCCGTGCACCCAAGGGACAAACACAGCGCAGCCGCTTTGCTGTGACCCCAGTTTAAATAATTACGGCTTTCCAAACAAGTAGTGCTGGGTTTTTATTTGGTCTCAGCCCTGCCCGGGGTTCAGACAGATGGGAATTCCCACTTAGTGCTGTCGCTGATCCCAGCTGAGACCAAGCCTGCCTAAGCCCTCCCAGCCGCTGCCTTCCATCCCACACCACGCAACAGGATGGAGAAACCCCCACAGCAAAGACAGACACGCAGCCAAGCTGCAAACACACCGGGCAGCACAGCAGCACCAAGCCAAGGCTGGCAGGGCAGCTGCCTGCAGGACAGCAGCAGCTTCAGCCCATGGCTCAGCCCAGAAGCAATCAGCTTTTCAAGAATGCACAGCCCTCTAATTGTTTGCACCTCTTTCCCATCATCCTGAGCCACAGCCCTCCCCACACACTTTCTGCTTCAGCGTGCAGATTGCAGAGAAGAAAGGAGGGCCGAAAGGAAATTGAGTTGCTGAGATATGGAGGAAATTAGGTTATAGTCCACTGCCTTCATGAAAACTATTAATTAGGTTCAGTTTAAAGCTGCTGGTATCTTGATTAGTGTTTATGTGAGAGCATATGTTGAAAACCCTCTTTGTTTGATGAGGATGACAAAAGGAAAGGACAAATTCCAGAACTGGAGATCTTGCTTGCTTCCCTCCTCCCTCAAAAGCTTATACTGATGCTTTACAACATAGATGTGCAGAATATAGGAAAAAATAAACAAACAGATTTGCTAATTGTTCATTTCTGGTCAAATAACCAGAACGTTTCTCAGGAAGCTCCCACAACAACTCCATAGCTGCATTCTGCACCCAGGGCTGATGACAGGGCAGCAGCCTCCCACAAAGGGGAACCACTGCTCTATTTTACACCAACCCCAGGATCTCAGAGGGTTCACTGAGCACAGCCCTCTCCCTCGATGGAAATAACTTAGCCAGGAGCATTTCTTCCCTAGGAAGGAAGAGATGGTCCTCACCAAACAGCAGCATAACGAAGCAGCTTACATTTCCTTACTGGTTTGGATGCAACACTCCTTTCTGCCATCAGATCCCCCAGACCCCAGCGACTCCCCAGGGGAGCTCACCGCTTTATGTAGCAGCTCCACTTAAAATACAGCAACCAGTGCCACATTTTTGACAGCACATCCAATGCTTGCAAGACACTCCAACACCCGTTAAACTCAGCTTTTACTTTTTATTGTAATAGTCAGCCTTCCCAGGGATTGCCTATTAATTGAACGCAACGTGGAAACCCGGTGCTTGCTCCCTAACTGGGATTTTGGCAGCACTGCTCAGTCCTTGCATCCCTGCTCTGTTTGTTGGTAACGTTACTGCAACTCTCTGAGTGACAGCACAGTGCAGGCAGGAGCTGGCCTTGCTGCACTTCTAATTATCCCCCAGATTGATGCTTCCCATCCCTCTGCTGGGCTGGGAGGCCCATGAGACACAGCACTTCCTGCGTGCAAGCTCAATAAATAAGGAGGTAGGGAAGTCAACAGGCCTTGTTTACACTCCATTGCACTGGCGCTGATTTCAGGGAAGCAATTCTAGCTTGCAAGCAAGATCAGGGACGAGATCACTGTATGCATAAAAGCCTCAGAAGTACAGCAGAGCACAGGAGCTGAGATTGCTAGCAAAATGCATGTATTCAACTAGCTGCTGAAGTATGGGAAAAGAACTTCTACCATATGTACCTCGTCTATAAATAATCCTGTATCTCTTTGCTTAAATCATAGGAGCTCATGGGAACATTCCACCCATCACGATTTGGGGTTTCATTTTAAAAAGCAGTCGCTGTGTGGGAGATGATGGGGCTGCCAAACAAGCTGTCAAGGAGACTCCTTGAGTCACAGTGCAAGGAACCAGGAATCAATGACCAGTGCATGGAAAATGAGCAGATTACTACGGACTTTGTGAGAACTGATTTGCAAGAGACTCTTTCTTCTGTTTACTGCCCCTCAAACAGGATTTAAATCATAACACGGGGATAAACGAAGTCCTGCTACTTTCAAAAGTGGAGCCTTTTCCATCAACACAGAGCACAAGAGCTACAGATCTGTAAGATTCTGGCAGAGGAGCTGGTTTAAAACCTCAGCAGGGGAGTGAAAGCAGAGAACCAGGGGAGATTCTCCAGCAGCCAACCTGGCCCACTGCTTGCATCAATACTAGAGAAAGCATTTACCTAGTATCTCTAAGAAACTAAGTTACATATTAAGGAATTCCATGCAAAAATCCAAGACACGTTTCAAACAAGAGCTGTCAAGCCCTCAAAACCAAAACCCAGCTCTGCAGAACGCCTCCAGAGCTGCTCATCATCACGACTTACCTCAAAGACTTCCTCATCTAATATCCTCGTTCCAAATACAATGATGCCATTGACGTCAATGATGGGATGGTCACTTCGATCCAAGAACTTGGTTATTTTCTTTTTACAGTCCAAAATCAAGGTGACGTTTTTCTTCTGCACGCTGATGGCGACCCTGTGCCACCTGGAAGAACACAGCCCACAGATGTTACACAGAGCCTTGGTCTTTCAAGAGCAAGCCAACGATTGCAATAACAACAAATCCCTCGTAAAAACTCTCCTGCAAACCTTCACACCAGCTATTATGTGCAAATGGGTGAAAATCAGCTTTAGGCAGACTCTACATGAGTCACTGGAAAGAGAAATGACTGTGCTGGCAGATGCCATTTGCTTTTCAACCCTCCAAAATAGCTCAGAGAGCACCTGCTCTTGCTTCAGTGAAGGGACTGATAACTCCCTGGCTATCCCTCCTTCCTCCCTCCTTATGCCCTGTGCAGGATCCAAGGGGGACTTCTATTGTCAAGGGTTTCCTTTGGACTTTTCATAACAGAAGCCAACAGTGCTGCTACCCCCCATAAGCACCAACACAGCTTGCACTAACTGGTACAGGGTTCACCTTTTACATACGCACTGTTCATCTGCCAGAGGGCACAGCTGAAGAATGGGATGTATGCACAGACATTTGTAGGACTCCAATTTTACACAACACATGCTGGCACTGTTATAAACAACGTACTGTTTGTTCCTTTGTGCACAAAATTTCACTTACTTGCCATCTGCTAGGTTAATGCCTCTAAAGAGAGGATAGTCTTCTGGGCCTGGCTTTCCTGTATGGTCTTCATACAGGAATACAGGAGATCTACCCATCTCCACACCAATTTGCTGGATCCCTTGCTCATTGTAAATTGAGATCAAGAAGGACTGACCTCCTTTCTTCGCTTTTACAGTGGTTAAAATGGAGAAGTCCTCTGGGAATGGGGAAGCTGGAGTGGAAAAGCAAAGAGGTTAGTCAGGTTTCCTTGACAATGAATCCCTACAGAAACAATAGGTTGCCTAATGATCTACATGAAGAAGGCTGACTCTTCACCCCTCCAGATGTGTGCACATCAGCATCTCTAGAAGCATACACTGGGAAAGAGCTCCATCTTTTCCCCCAAAGCCTACTGAGATTTAGGCTGGAACCTAAAGCAGATGGCACCTGCAAAGCCAGAGCAGGGCAGTGCCTCTCAAGGGCTACCCACTGTAATGGCACAGAGCTGAACGTCACCAAGGATCTTCCATTAATCATCAGAAAGCCTTTTGCCAGCCCTCACTGCCCTGCCACACAGCCAAAAGCCACTCCATATTTCAACTTGCAGCACAGCACAGTTCAAGGTCTTCCAGAGTGAGAATACAACGCTGGGAAAACAGAGGCTCTAAAAATACTGTTGGTTTAAATGTATTATTTGCACCAAACTCTTTCTCGATGCGTCCTGGAGAATTAAGGAGAGAAAGCAGAAACTTCCTTTCTTTCATTTATCACACCATCTCCAAATTAACTTAATACATCAGAAAGACAGAGGGAGGTAAGCATTCCACACCAGTTAGGCAAATAAAACTCTCCAACACTGTGTGTAAAGACGTAGGGGAATTGCATCAGGTTTCATCTATTCCAGGCCCAGAACAGAGCATTCTGTGGCTTTGGCTTTCAGGGCTGGTACAGGGGAAAAAAAATATCTGTGAGCAGAAATAAATCTGGCAAACAGCAGGAAACGCCGGTTTGTCTGCATATTGAACAGCTCACAAGTTTCCATGATTTCTCTCCACTCAGGAAAGCGGACTTCTCTGATCTCAGGTGGTATCTTTCCATTTTTGCAAGGTTTGCATGGGAAGGTTCTGCAACTCTGGGCTGATGCCCTCGAAGTTTCAAGTGGACACGAACATCACCAAGCCATGCCCCGTGCAGGACGTGTCTCCTTAGCTCATCTTTTCTCTGCCCTTCATATAGAACCATCACAAATGGAAAAGCTTGGATGCACACGTTGAAGAGGAGGTCTTAAAAACCCCAGATGCGTTACTAAAGGAGTTTGTTTGATCAGATTCCGGTAGACGACAAAAAATTAGGGTACCCTACAGGGCATAACCTCATTTCAGCAGTGCGAGACGTGCAGGGTATCTTTCCTCCAAGGTCCAGGCTTTCACAACAAGGATTGCATTGTACTGCTGGGTATCTGCTTGGGAAATCTTATACCAAGCACAGCAAAGTGGGGCAGCCCTGCCATGGGCAGCAGGGTATGTGTGTGTGTGTGACCATCTGCGTGCGGCAGGGCGCAGCGAAGGGAACAACAACAATAGAGCATTTTTCAGCTGCAGATTCGCAGCCATATAAACCGCAAAAAATTATCAAGCTCAGCGCCCAAAAGCTTCCAATAGGCTTCCTCTGCCCCTAAGGGCTTTTCTTAGATGGTATCCCAGTGGGGCATAAGGGATTCTGACCTGGGTATGGGGGCTTGAGCAGGGAATTCTTCTGATTACAGCACAGCTCGCGAGTTCAAAAAGAAAGAGGCCATGAAATCACTCTTTTCTTCTGCCTGGGAATTGCTCAAACTTTATTAACCACTGCTGTAAGTGAATCTAGCCCTCCAGCAGAGGACTACACTGCAGAACAACGGAGGAGGCAGGAGAAGGCATGCAAATGGTGCACCGAGTGGGCAGCTGGGGACACCTGCACAGACACTGCACTGAACACAGCCAGCATCCCTCACCCAGTTAGACCACGTTTGTAAAGAAGCAGAAAGCATCTTCTGAACGGAGGACTCAGTCAATAATTCAGTGCTGTGGTAATAATACAAGGATTTTCCTCCTAGGACAAAGACCCAGATATCTGGCAAAGGCAGGCATCTGATCTTGGTGCCTCCCCTAGGATGAACTGAGCTTTATCTCCCTCCTGCTGAATATACACAAATCCTCCTGTAGAGCTCAATCAAGACCATACGCCTTCCTGGTTCCAATTACAGGCTAGAGTTTGGGGCCTTTTATGTAAAATAGTTCATGTCCAAAATTTCATTATGAATCCACAATACAGTACCTTTCAACTTGAGCAAGCTGCCAACTCATTAAAAAGCTGCTTTTAATTTTTTTTTTCATTATTATTAAAATGTCTCCATGGTGATGTGAGTTTCTCAACCCAAATAACCATAACAGATGAATTATAGCTGACATTACTGTTACTGCTCTGCTGTCCTGGCAAAATAACAATGCCTTCACTGTCACAGAAGTGACCCAGGCTATTGAGTGATGTATGAAAACACATCCGCACGGACAATATATACATGACAATAAATACATGGAGAGCATAGAAACTGTTCCAAATCCCCTTAAAGACAGGGAAGTCATCCCCAACAAGGGGCTCGGGAATAAGCCTCGATTTTCAGTCCACTCAAGTGAGCTCACTGCACATCCCTCTCTCCTCCTCATAGCCCTGCACTAATGCTGAGTTTGGCTCACTGCAGTGTCTTTATTTTTACCCTCATGACCAAAGCCTTTCAAATTTACCACCACCGCAAAGCAGCAAAGGGTTCGGACCCCCATTCTGCAGATGGATCCATGGGGAGAGCCAGCATCACTGCTCCAGCAGCCAACACTGAGGTGTGGGGTGGGCACAAGGGCAGCACGGCCCCAACATCCACTGCTTCACGTGAGCAGCTGGCATCTGCAGCACGCTCTGCTGCACACAGAGCAGCAGCAGGCCCAGCTTCCTCCTTTCTGAGTGCTGGGTCCAAGGATGGAAGGCTCTCATGCAAGCTCAGCCTTCGAAATACAGACACCAGAGATGCCTTCCTAGCTCTGGTGCTGCAGGTGTAGCAGAGGGGGCTGGCAGAGCCCTGACTCTATCTGGGAAGGACCAGAAAGCTTTAGCCATATAACACGCACACAAAGAAAAACAACCAGCAAAAACAATGAGATGATCAAGTTCCAAGTACAACCACAGAGCAGAACTGTTGTGCAAGTTGGTGCCGTTCCCATAGCCACTTCTCAGAGCAGAACAGCTTCTTGGTGGTGTTACCAAGCTCTGGTCTTGTTCTTCATCTGAGAAAACTTTCAGTTTTGGAATGGATGCTTTCCTCAGAGATGACTGTTCGAGTTATAATAGAGATTCTTCAGCTCTTAAATACATACATATCTATACGTGCAGACACCCACAAGCAGCACATAGAAGGCAGAATTTGCTGAAAGAATGCAAATCACATTCTGCTGGCTGCCACTGAAAACCCTGCCTCTCTTGCTTCTGCTGGAAGAGCATGGTTTTGTGGGGAAGCAGAACTTATTCATGGAGGGAGGACAAAGAGCATCTCAGCAGATTTTCTCACTCCTGTGGGTTTGAAAAACAGACAGGCTTTATATATATCTCTTGCTTTGCTGGCTGTGGCTGCAGAAGCAGAATGCAAAGCCCATAAAATTACCATCTTAGAAAAACACCAACTGCTAATTAGCACAAAATATTATGCACTGTGTACACTTGCCTGTGGTGCTCAAGAGCAGAGAGGGCCAGTCATTCTGTGACACACAAAGTCACCAAAGCCACATTTCCCCTAATGCACTGTGCTGCAATCACTTCGATGCCTTTACCTCCCCTCTCTCACTCATCTGGTGGTGTGAGCTCAAGTCACGGCTCGTTATGGGGATGTATTGAGCAAACAGCTGTGGTTCTGATGGAAAACAGCAGGGCTTCCCCGCTCTGCTCTTCCCTTCCCATCTCCTGAGCAAGCGGAGCAGATTATTTCATAAGAGCCCAGAGAAAGGTAGAGCTGTCTCAATTGCTCCACAGGTGTCCAGTGGAAGTGACTGAGAAGTTGCTTGATGACATCAAAGAAACACCATCTGCATCTCACCCATGAAGAACAGCAGATGCAAGCCACGATCTCAGAGGATGTCCAAACAACGAGATGAGTCAAAAACAAGAGATTCTCACACGATATGGAGTTACCCTCTGCAACCATGGTTCAGTTCTGCATGCTCTTGGGTTGAACTCCTTGAAGCAGCGGCAACCAATCTTTGCTAAATTGGCTGGAAGTCACTACTTTTCTGCTTTCTGCACCAAAAAAGGCTGTTGGGCAAGATTTCACAGTGGCTCCAGCAACCACTGGGAAGCTCTTAAATCCACTCTGTTCCAAACTGGAAACATTTCCTCAAAGCAGCACTCTTCAAGGGCTCTGTAAACTCCTGTGTCTTTGTGGCTTGCTCTAATGAACCTCCAGCCTCTTCAAACAGTCTTCTTGGGACATCTGTTCTTGTGGGGCAGTCTATTCTTTTTTTATGGTGCTTATTTGTGTTATGAGACACCACAGCCACAGAATAGGCTCCTACTGTTCCTGGCACTCCACAAACGCAGAGCACAACGCGGCCTGCGCTCCTTTGCATCTTCCAAGTCTCTCCCAGCTGGACATCACTGTGTGATAATGAGAGCACAAACTTTCTAATATAGGAGAGAACATACGTGGAGGCATTGGCCACATCTCCCTCGATGAAACCTGTCACTACATGCAAACGCGATGACAAAAGGACTTACTGCTGCGTTTGATGGTTGCAAGCTTGCAACCCGCCCCAAAAAATACCAGAATCACTCATTCTCTGCCAAGGGAGCATGCATAGAGAATAGGAAGTGTGTACTGCCTTGCATGTGTCTGGAGAAGCTGAGAAAAGGATCAGGTATTTCTAAATAGCTAACACAAAAAGCTGCAGACTTACCAGGATACAGCTGCTTTGTCGGTGCACTGAGCTGAGCATCTTTTGTTACTCTGTAAGCAACATCTGCTTCTTTTGAAGATCTTCTGCTTGTGCAAAACCCTGTTGTTCTTGTGATACCATCAGGTAAATTGTGAAAATCTAATACCTTCAAGAGGTCTGCAGGTTCAGCTGCAAAAAGAAAAGCAGAGAACAAGAATTAACAGGCAACAGGGCCAGAAGTATGCTGAGGCAAACCTTTTACTCTTAAGTTAGTCGATGTAAAGAAAAATAAGTTTTAAAGCAAGTACCAGAGTGAGCATCCCTAAGGATTACACACTTGTACCATGAGAAACAAGCACAGGGCAATTCACACCAGCTGGAATAACAGGTAAACCCACGGCCATGCTTAGGGTTACAAGCGAGCTGTGGCAGAATCATCCCAGTGTGATGTGTCAGTGCTGGTCCTGCTCCTGCAGGCTTGCTCAGAGGATTCTGTGTGCAGCACCCAGTCCTGCCTGGGGCAAGGAAAGGAGATTTCCCCTTTGGCAAGCATTGCCTTGTGTTGACTGCTGCACAAAACACACACACACGTGCAGGCAGCAAAACACAAGTCTGATGGAAGGGGAAAAGTCGAGTTACACGCTGGCTTTCCAAAAAAGCATGTTCTGGTTTCTGTGGGAATTCAGGGCATGGCAGGAGCCTTCAGCTGAGCGTGCCCTGAAGCAAGCACACAGGCATTAACAGTGTGAAGCAAAAAGCTCCTGGCCTCAGCCCTCGCTGTCCTTATCCACCAGGCTCATGACTTTACAGGGCAGCAGGAAAACCTATGTGTATGTAAAGGAGAGGTTCTCACACCCAGCGCACCCACACAGCAGGCTCCAGTCACCTCCAGATATTGAGGTCTTTAGTGATTCAGTCACGTGAGTGATCCATCTCGTTAACTTCCTCATCTGGTCTTGCTCACACTGGGAGAGATGGCATCTCCAAAAGTACAGTAACCAGACCCAACTTTAAATGCTTGCAATAAATTGTTTTGAGTCCTGATCTGATACTTGCAAAGTGCTGTCAGAAAGACAAGCTGCCCAACTCAGCAAACCCATGGCAGCACCCAAAGCAAACGCGTGCACGACAGCTTCATCTAGCCCTGCCTGCACAATACATCACAGCTGTATTCATTTGCCCCGTGATCCATTATTTTCCCTGAAGAGAGACATCACTCAGAGCTCAAGGGCAGCCAAACATCGGGCACTCTGACATTTGCAATATCCCAGCCAATCCTCCTGGGCCCCAGCTCCCACCTGTGTCCCAAGGCATCCCATTACTGCAAAGGCCATGGAGGCACATCCCCATCACCAACATGGCAAAAAAAGTAATGAAAAAATGAACAATCTCCAGGAGGACAGGAAGATAATAACAGGAGAAAGTTTTCAAGGGAGGGAAAAATAAGAATAATGAAAAAAGGGCCTCATCATGGGCTCAAGCACTCACTAGAAAGACCAGAGAAAAGGAGTCACAGGAGAACATCCCAAGAGCCTGTGCTACTGATTGCATCCGTGGGGAAGGCTACAGCACACACATCAGCATTGAACACACACAAAAAACAGCAACGGAAAGAAATACGACGAGCAGATCTTTTACAGCACAAAAAGCTTTGGTTACCAAGATGATCTGCCTAATATTTGCATGGAAAAGTCATGTACATTTTTAGGCAGCTTTAAAAAAGTTTCCATAATCCTGAGAAATTGGGTCCTCAACTGAGAGATTACAAACATATGGCAGATCCGAGTCAGCGCTGCAGATAATAAACCAGCTGAGAGAGCCTGGCCCCAGCAGCACGCAGCTGTAACGTTTCCTCGTCTCTCATTCTTGTTAGACACAGAATATGGATGACATTTGTCTAAGCTGCCTTTACAGCTTGGATCTTCCCACTGCCTTCGACCAGGCTTTGTTTCACGCAGAGATTCCTGCATGCGAACAGCACAAGCCGCCTTTAAGCGACTCAACTGCTTGTTCTCCAGTTTTGCTTCCAGCCCCCTCCCTGTGCTCCGGGAGATTCAGATCAGCCAGCTCCCAGCCACCTCCAGAACTTATTTATGGAGAAGAGGGGAAAAAGGCAGAGGCAGGGGGAGGGGATGCGAATTCCAGACTCCTGACATCAGCCGCGCTGCCCAGGCGGCTGCAGGGGATTTGGAGCCGAGCTCATCGCGCTGCTATAACTGTGCAGCGTACAGAGAGGAAGAGCAGCACGAAGGCACCAGCAGCACATTTTGCTGGCTGTATGCATTAGCAGAATCACATCGCCTCCCAGGCCTCCAGCTGCTGCTCGGAGTTCTCCCACCCACCCTCACCCTCCATCGTGGCCCTCCGTGCTGCGCTCCTCCTTTCTGGAGGATGATTTCAGTGCCTGCTGCCCCACGCAGCTCTCAGGCTCCCAACACAACGTGCAATTCATCTTCGTTTGGAAGACTCTCCGTCCTTCTCTAACTATGACAGACGAGCTCAAAGCGAGATGTTCAAGTCTAACAGCAACAACCTGGGTGCTGCCCAAGCAGCAGAACGCAGACTGTGAATCACATCAGCAAACAGGAGTGGAAAACCATGGGTCAGATGTGTGCATGTCACCTCTGCTCACTCCCAGAGAGGCAAGAAGCCAACCGAAGTCCTCAGCCCATTCCCACTGCACTCCAGCACTGCTCTGAGGAGCAGTTCAGCAGCATGGAATCCTCCAGCGCTACCCAGAAAGCTGGGATTCACACAGGAGCAACTCCTGTTTGTGCCCAGTTAACCAGTTTATTTATTTCCCTTTCAGCCAAATTCAAACACTGCAATCTCTTGCATGGAGCTCTGACGGAATCACTCCAGAAGGACAGAGCCCAGGCTGACCAGGACTGGCCCTGCAAGGTATTTCTTACAAGCTTGCACTGGGCTTGGCCTGCATCCGAGAACTCAATTAGTCGTTGCTTCATGAAAGCTTTTTTTTTTTCTTGCTGTTTTATGAATACCATTACTATGCCACGTTACACACTGGATCATTCTTTCACCTGAGATGCACAGGGCTGCCCAAGGAAGGCAGCAGCTCTGCCCCTGCTGCACCAGAGGAGGATGGCCACAAACCCAAAAGGCAAAGCAGCAAATGACAAATACCCACAGTCAGATCCAAACTGGGGCTTTCCTGGGCTTCAGAGAGCCCCAAAAGCAGCACCCGACAGCGTGGGACGCCCTGTGATAAGACAACAGAGCATCATTCCTTGTTCTGCACAGGGCAGAGATGAAGGACCCTGTGCTGAGCACACAGTGGTGAGAGTAGGAATGAAATCCCTAATTCCTCTGTGTCTACTCAGGGCTTAAACCACAAGACTAATACGTGTGTTAATCAGGTCTGTAATGATTTAATTACATGCTAAAGCCTGGCATAGAGGCAGCTGGTATTAGGTTTATAAAACCACCCTCCACAATGCAAAGCAGCAGAGAGTGAGCTGTCAGATCTGATTCCACCAAGCTGCTAACCTGCACCGAGCTTTCCTCAGTTTGTGCTGCTTTCTCACCAGGTTTGATAGCAAGCCCAGGCTCTCCCATGTTTCACCTCCCCCGGCCAAGGCATCTTGCTTTGTGTTTACCTACAGAAGTTGAACTTCTTCAGCATTCCTCTGCTCATCCCACTCCCCAAAGCACTTGGCTGAGTGTCAGGATACACAAGTTGCTTATACGTTACTTGGGGGTATCTGCAGCCCCAGTGTCTGAAAGGTTACCTAACAACACGTCACAAGACTCAAAACAACTCCCTCCCATCATTTTTCATGGCAGCTCATCAAACCCTTATCCCCAAGGGAATCTGCAGTAGTTAAACTCCCCCAATCAGAGCAATGGTGCTGCAGTGTCAGCTGTACCCACAGCACTTGATAGACTCCACGAGCCAGCATCCAGACTGACCTTTTCCCATTCACAGATCTCTATGCATTTGCCAGTAAGGATGCTACAGCAAAGTCTGCTATGGCTGAAAACAGACCTGCTTTTCCAAGCTCCTTTTGCTCATCACTGAAATGGTCACAGGGTCCCCAGACCCCAGGGTCCCCCCACAGTCCACCTCAGTGGAGCAGAAACTGAACAGGCTTTAATACAGTAGTTTAAATGAGGGAAATCTGCACACACGCACATAGCTGTCATGGCTGTGCGTGTGGCAGTGCAGGTGCCTTCTTATGGACAAGAGTGTCTAAAAGCAGGTTTAAGAAAGTACGTAGTGAATGGGGAAGTCTATTTCCATCTTAAAGTACATCCAGAGCTTGTTCAATGCTGGCTGACAGCATGGTCAAAGTGCAGGAGGCAAGAAAACACCCTTTCTTCACCCTTTTGCTTTATAACATCCTTCTAAGTGAAAATATTCCCCTCCAATACCCTGAAATGCATTAATTCTGCACAGCCAATGTATTTCTGTATTAATGTAAAAATTGCGACATTTGAGCATCTGGAAAAGGGGTCACCAACCCGCCGTGGTGGAGAACCATTCCTCTATATTTGGTTTCTCAGCAGCCAAAGGGCATCCAAAGACTTTCAGTGCTTGACGACACAGCACTGAGTCATACTACAGCTTACGTGCAACCATTGCCAAAGAGTCAAGGTCACAAGCTGAAGAATGAATAGGCATTCATGTTCCTGACTGATTCCAGGTGCCCTCTGCAACTCTCTCATCACATAATGACCCAGCAGTCTGGGTGTTTGTATCCAAGTGTCACTTTGCTAATGATTCAGGCTCACTGGGAAGGAAAGCCCTTCTATGCGAACAGGCAATTAAGAGAAACCACAAGTCTCCACCTTCAGCAAGTAGCAGCACTATGTAAGGTGAACGAGGATTATTTCCAAGGCAGCATCTCTTTGAGAAGATCCCCGAGCCTCAGAGAAAAGTGGAAAGAATTGTAATAGAAAACGGGAGGAGATGCACTGCTGTTACCCTGCACCTTTAGCTTAAATCTCCCTGTCTTTCCTGCACCTGAGTTGCCCCGGATGCCCATCACCACCTCCAGGAGCAGCACGGGGCCCCAAGCATGGGCAGATCCAGCTGCTGCACCCAGATGTGCTGCTGGTCACACACAGCATCTTGGCTGAGCCAGTGAGCACCAGGCAAATTGGGGGATGGAAGGTAGATGCGTAGCTCCCCAGCTTCAAGGAAACAAGGTCCAATGATGCCAGAGAGA